GCGAGAGACACACGAGACCAGAGAGACAACACGACAACAGACGCGAGAGACAGAGATGGAGAGACAGAGGCAGAACAGACCAGAGATGGAGAAACAGACGCAGAGAGAGACAGAAGCAGAGATGGAGAGACAGAGACAGGCAGAAAGACAGAAGATGGAGAGACAGAGAGAGACAGACAGAGAGACAGAGATGCAGAGACAGAGGCAGACAGAGAGACAGAGATGGAGAGACAGAGAGAGACAGACAGAGAGACAGAGATGCAGAGACAGAGGCAGACAGAGAGACAGAGATGGAGAGACAGAGAGAGACAGAGATGGAGAGACAGAGAGAGATAGAGATGGAGAGACAGAGAGAGATAGACAGAGAGACAGAGATAGAGAGACAGAGACAGACGGAGAGACAGAGACACATGATATCAGTGATCTGGGTCCACGTCCGTGGTTGGATCTTGGGCTGCAGGTGCCCATCGAGGACTGAACTGTGAGGGAGACAGGGTCGGAGCTGAGCCAGCCGGGAGGGGCAGGGCACACTGGAGTGGAAGGCGGCCGGTGGATCCCCACATATGTGAGCTGTTCCATTTTCTGTCACAGAGAAAGGCAGAGACGATCTCACTCCCGTGGTTCCACCTTTGTCAGGGAACCGAGAAATGCAGCAGGAGGAGTGTGGTCTCCTTCCTTATCACGACTGACATGGAAAAATCACAAGGCAGGCAGCCTCCCTGCGGCAGAGGCCCGAGGCAGGTGCTGCTCAACCCCTGGACAGCAGCACCCATACGGGGACAGTGGAAAGAGAAAAGGAACAGAGTCCGGGGGGTGGGCTGTGAGGATCAGGGGCTGGGGCCCCATCCCATGGGCTGGTCTCCCTCCATGGAGATGCCAGGGTGCCCTCTTCACCTGCCATCCTCATCACAGGTGGTGTTGGTCATCTGTGACCTCCCTGGTATCTACCTCCCCCCACGACCCCATGCACCACCTGGTGCAGCCCTGGTGGCCGCAGGAATGGCTGCGTGGGTGAGCGTGGGCAGCAGGTACAGGAGACCCGCACACGTACAGAGGGCGTCAGGAAGGGACAGCGTCGGGGGCCGCTTGCGTAGCCTCGGTTCTTGCTGGGACCTGAACTGGAACAGGCTGTGGGACGACCACGCTTCCCAGTAGGAAATTCACCCTGAGAGCATGTGGGCCAAGAGGCAGCCAGGAGACCAGGGGCCATCTGGGGTGGATTTGGCTGGTCCAGGGCTCTGCAGAGGCTGGGGCGGGGCTGGGCTGCTGCTGCTGTGGGCAGGGCTGGGGGATCAGGTCCCTGAGCTCCTGCAGTGACTTCTGCTTTCTGCTTTAATCCACAGCAAGGTGCACAAACTCCAGCTGTGGGTGAATGGACCCCTGCTCCTGTCCACACCTGCTGCTCTGGGCCAGCGGCCTTTTCCACCAGAGGGGACGGGGTCTTGCTCCAAGGATGGCCCTCCCAGTGCAGTCCCCAGTCCACTGGGCCAGAGGCCGCTAGGCGGTGCTGGTTAAAGATGGCTGGTCCAGGGCCTGGCCTTGGTCAGAACATCCAGGTGGGAAGACCCTACTGCAGACCGAGGAAAACCCTACTTTCTCTACCCAGGCGTGCAGGGCTCACCGGGCAGGTGGGGACCCTCCAGAAACTCCCACTGAGGTCTCAGGAAGAGCCACAGCCTCCTCCCACCCCAGATGGCATGAAACTGGCACCCAGTCTTGGTACCCCGTTCCTTGCCTCCAGTCACCCCTTCTGTCTGCCCCCTGCACACACAGCCTTGCATACATACACACTTGTGCACTCACACACCCCTGCACACACACTCCTGATCTCACACTTGTACACACACATCTGCACTCACACCTGTACACACTCTTGCACACACCCTGCACTCACACATCTGCATTCACACTCCTGACCTCACACTTGCACACACACCTGCACACACATGTGTACACTCACACACTTACACATGCACACCCCTGCACTCATCCCCCTCCACTCACACACACTTGCATACACACCCCTGCACACACACCCCTGCACACACACCCCTGCACTCACACTCCTGACTTCACACTTGCACAGACACATCTGCACTCACACCTGCACACACATATACACACACACCAGCACTCACATACTTGCACACACCCTGAATTCACACCCATGCACTCACACTCCTGACCTCACACTTGCACACACATCTGAACACACACACGTGCACACTCACACACACACATACACCCCTGCACTCTCACACACCTGCACACACACACCCCTCCACTCACACCTGCATACATACACTCCTCCACTCACACACCCCTGCACACGCACACCCCTGCACTCACACACACCTGTATACACACACCCCTGCATGCACATACACTTGCACACTCACACGCACCTGCACTCACCCCTGCACACAGATCTCAGGCCAGCACTTGGCCACCAGGGAGGTTGGGAAGTAGAGGAAGGTGCCCAGAGGCAGAAATCATAGATCCAGGGCGGCAGCTGGGCCCTGGAAGGTCCACAGGGACCCCCTAAGGCCCAACCAAACAGGCAAACTTGAGGTTGAGTGTGGCTGCTGTTGAGTGACATCCTGCATGCAGAAGGAGGAAGAGGGATGGAGGCCAGAAGCTGCCTCCCTGCACTGAGCCCTGCCCGGCCCTGGCCCCTTCTGGAACCTGCATGCGGGTGCAGGATGGGGCCTTCCCAGGGCGCAGGGGCTGTGGGTGGGGTGCGAGATGCTGTATTGGTCCCTGGCCCCTTGACTCAGGCATGGCCAGCTCAGCGTTGGAGGGTGTGCGGGAGCCCAGACTGAGTCAGCCATGGGCGGCAGCTGCTCCGTCTTCCAGGACATAGGGGACGGGCCTGAGGTCTCCTCAGGGCCACCTGAGTCCCTGTGTCTGCGGCCAGGGATGGGGAATGAGACTTCATCTTCTAGCCTGGCCATTCCCAAGGCTGACCTGAGAGAGCTGCCTCACCCTGGCCTGCTGATGGAAGCCTCCAGAAAGACCCTGCAAACCAGGCCAGGCCCTCCCCAGCCCCGCCTTTGGAGCCTCCCCGATGGGCTGGGGGCATTTCATGCAAACCTAACCGGACCCTTGGCAGGACCTTTGGCCGGAAGCTGACTTCACAGTGAGCTTATGAGGGGCAGGCACTCAACTAAGCTCTTTCCTTTATTACCTGACTCTGTCCTCAGAGCACCCTGCACAGACTGTGTCATCCCTGCCCCCTCTCCATCTTTGGAGAGAAAACAAGCTCAGTGGGTTGAGCTTGGGACTGCCCACATCCCATGGTGGGGGGCGGTGCGTCACTCCTAGAGTTAACCCTGCAGCACCAGGCCAGAGTAGCCCCCTAGTGTCTATCTAAGAACCCTGGGGCCAAGCCAGTGGTCACCCTGAGGCCAGCGGTACTCCTCAAACCAGACCCCAGACTCCCTGGAAGCTGGAACCTACGGGGGCCGGGCAGCCTCTCCTCAGCCCCATGCAGCCCCAGGCAGGAGGAGGGAGGGCAGGGTGGGGGTGGGGTACAGAGGCAGGCACCACATTCGAGGGCTGGCAGGCATCTCTGCAGCTGCAGCAGGGAAGGAGGGAGTGGGGAGGGGACAGACCACAGGGGCTTTGTGGCCTGGAGATCCGCACTTAATCCAGATGGCAAAGGAGGACCCAAGGCGGGTGAGCAGGGAGCACCTGACCTCACCCCACGCTGGCCTCTGGACACGCGAGGGCAGGAGGATGGGGCAGGAGAGAGGCTCATGGCCTGGGCTGGGAGTGGCTCCAGCGTTGGAGAGAGGGAGCTGGTGGGAGACGTTTGCAGTAAGCAGGAACAAGGGACAGATGCCCCGTGAGGGCTCAGTGCCCAGCGCGTGCCGAGTGCCATCCCAGGGCTGGTCTGCGTCACCCCTCCACCCTCCCCACACCCAGGCAGGCCCCACCCCCTCCACCCTCCCCACACCCAGGCAGGCCCCACCCCCTCCACCCTCCCCACACCCAGGCAGGCTCACCGTGAGCAGGAGGTGAACAGGGATGTGAGAGTGATCCTGGCATTCGTGGCTCCAGCAGCCGGTGGACAAATACACTGGGGGCCAGGGGGCCTGCGGAGGAGAGACTGCAGGCCTGAATGAGCCCATATCCTCCTCTGCCCTCTTCCCAGCCCCCCTCAGGCCACAGGCCTCATCCCAGAATCCAGGACAGATGTGCAATGCAGTTAAACTGCCCCGACAGCCACTCCACACCCAGTCCAAACCACAGCTTCCCATCACTTTAGACGCCGGGCGGTGCCGGGGAGGTGGCGTCATTCCTGGGGTAGGGTTGCGGAACTTGGAACTTTTAGGTGGCAGGTGGGAAGGTGGGGTGGGTCTGGGCAGCACAGAGGAGGGAGCTGGTTGGGGGCACTCTCCCTTCCCCGGAGTCATGGCGCTGGAGAAAGGCCCTCTCCTGCTGCTGGCCCTCGGCCTGGGCCTGGGAGCCCCCCTCACGTCCCTGGTCTGCCTCTTGTGCACCGACAGGCCCCTCACTCCATGCGTCCCTGCCTCTGTGCACAGACAGAGCCCCCTCACTCCTCGGTCCTGCCTCTGTGCACCAGACACCGAGGCCCCATCCTCCCATGGTCCTGCCTCGGCCCGCGAGCCCCCTCATCTCCCATGGTCCTGCCTCTGTGCACCGACAGAGCCCCCCTCACTCCCTGGTCCTGCCTCTGTGCCAGACAGAGCCCCCTCACCCCCCTGGTCTGCCTGCTCTGTGCCCAGACGAGCCTCCTCACCCATGGTCTGCTCCTGCTGCCACCACAGACGCCCCCTCCCCTCGCCATCGCGCGTCCGCTGTGTGGTAGACAGAGCCCCCCTCAATTCATCGCCTCCTCTGGCTCTGTGTCGTAGACCGCCGCCCCCCTCACTCCCACCCTTTTGCTCTGGGGTCTTCAGTATTCTACTTTGGGGTTGGGTACGCCAACCCCTGGACTCTGCAGGCCCCCGCACGGCGTGTCTGCTGACTCCGCGTCTACTAGGATGTGGGTCTCACGGCTTCAGCAGCTGCGGGTGAGTGGCGTGTGGGCGCTTGTGGTCGGTGTCGCTGGCTCAGCGCAGCCTTGTCTTCGCGAATTCCCTGCACTTAATACATCCCGGCGGCCGAAGCGGGCGTGGACCGGGGTGGCTGTGGTCCTCCGGGAGGGGTTGTTGGGAATCTCGGCAACTTTCTAACACTGAGATGGCACATTTAAAACGTCCCAGCACCGGGCTTCCTTCCAGCTGGAACCCACGGACCGTGGCCCAGTTGGGCATGGTCTGCTGGGACTGGACTGGCCCCTCCGGGGCTGGGCTGGTGCTTTCCTGCCCGCTCTGCCTCTCCGGCAGCTTCCGAGCTTGCCCTCTTGGCGCGGGCCTTTGGGCCTCAGCTTGGTGTGATGTGTATCCTCTGCCTCGGAACACTGGTCCTCGCCCTGGGGCGTCCCCTGGGTCTGACGAGTGACGCTGAGAGGGTGGCAGGAGCCCGTGCTTACTTCCGCCAGCACGAAGTCACATCCCACCGTCCTCGCGTCTGGACTGGCGTGGAGCCGCCAGCCGCTCCGCGGGTCGCCCGGAGAGACCCAGGTTTGCGTGCGCTGGCTACAGCTGCGGGTGATGCAGCGCCTCCACTGCGGGTCGTGGGCCAGGGTGGGAGAAGGGCCGCTATGCCAGCGGCGAGTGGTCGTACGGTGGCACCCACACTGGCAGGGTACGGGCTTACGGGGGCGGCGCGGGCTTAGTCGCCCTGGCCGTGTGGCACCCTCACCTTGTCAGGGTGCGGCTGGGGCCGGGAGAGCGCTGGGCTAGTGGGCACCCAGTGGGCACCCTCTGAAGCTCTCAGGCCCGCTCTGCGCACTGAGCATGGGTCATCCCAGGAGGTCGTGCCCCTCCCCAGGGGGCTTGCATTGGCCACCGTTCTCTATCCTGGTCCTACTATTGCGGCCACATGCCCTCTGTGCGGTCCGCGTGGAGGTAAGCCCGTCGCTTCCTTCTTGGGCAAGGAGCTCCCTCCCCGTCCCCTTTCTTCCCAGATCCTGTCCATCCCTTCCCCAACTTGCTACCCTCCTTCCCCTCGCACCGCCCCCTGCCTCTGCCTGAATCCACAGGCTCTGTTCCCTGGCCAGGGAGGCGGTAAGCAGGGGAGGGTCTGGCTCTGCGGGGTCTCCCATCCCTGCCCTCCACCCAGCAGCCAGACCCCAGGGCACACAGGGAGCGAGGAACTGGGCGTCTCCGCCTCACCCGGGGCTGGCTCTTCGTGGTCACCCAGGGTGACCTTCCCTGTCCATGCTGGCCAAGCCGTCTATGGGTGCTCTGCTTCACTGACGCAGCCCTGCGCCTCTCCTGGACGCTCGCTTGGCTGCCAGCTTCACACGCAGGAGAGAGGAAGCCGCCGAGTGTTATCATGGCTGCTGGTTCCCGCTGTGCGGCGAGGAACGAGCCCGTTCCTGCCTCGGTTGGAGGACCCGGCTCCAGCGTGACTAACCCTCCAGAGCTGCTGCAGGGCGTCGGCGGCCCAAACCCAGTCCCCACCCACCTGCCCACCTGCCCTCCTCAACTGTGACCACGTTGTGCTCCATCCCAGCCCGCTGTTCCAGCCTGAGTCTGGGACTGGACATCGACACTTACCGTTCTGTGCATCAAGGTCTGGCTGTTAACCCGGCACTTCTTCCAGCGCTTCTGGGCCCGCCAAGG